ATATACATAATATACATATATATATATATATATATACACACATATATATACACACACATATATATATATTATATATATATACACACATATATATACACACACATATATATATATATATATATATATATAATATATATATATATATACTCAAAACTTTTGACTGAATTTTACAAAAGACTTACATTTCAAATATATCCAGTTTCCACAAAAATACTAAGCAGCAAAAAGTGATAATAATAATAATAAAGTTTAAAATAATAAGAAACGGATTAAAAAAAACAATTGTTTTAAATTGTAATATTGTTTCTAAGTATTACTGTGTTTACTGAATTTTTGATCAAATAAATGCAGCCTCGGTGAGCATGAGATTTTTTTCAAAAACATTAAAAAAAAAAATCTAAACTTAAAATCTAAATGAAAAATTTTTGACATGTAGTGTTACAGTTATGCTGTACCAACCGGCCTGATTGGGTTTATTTTAAAATAAACCCAATAGTGTTGTTTAAAGAAATATCAATCTGATCTCCAACCAAACCTTCAGGTGATTGGTGAGAGAATGTAAGGTCAAGTACTCACAGGACACTTTGGGATGCGCCTCGTTCAACCAAAAGCTTGACCACCGCTATTTGACCGTTCCTCACGGCGTAGTGCAGTGGAGAGTCATTCTGATAGCCTGGAGTGTTCAACAGCGCCCCCTGCTGGAGCAGTTCCTCCACCACTCCCAAGTGACCCAGATTACAAGCCTCATGCTGCAAAAACAAAAACACAAATACAATACATAATTGCCTTAGTAGCAGATATAACAATGTTCTGTCATATCATGAAGGATTATAAGAGCAATAGCATTATTATAATAGCTTGGACCTAATAATTCCCCAGCATCAACAGCTCGACAAAGGCCTTTAAACTAGACCTGTGGAACTTATGACTGAGGGGAAATGCAGTTATATATTCACAGAGATTTTTCTTTAAGAAACTAAGAACATGTAGTGGTTCATTATTATTCAGTTGTTTCATAGAAGATTTATGATTCAGCTGTTAAGAATCCCCATTCCTAATTCTCAGTAGCCTACTGTAATGTGAAAGAAATAATGATACATTATTTAAACCGTAAAGTACATTTATAACATACAATTTCAAGCATAAGGAACCTGATCTAGGGTCACACTTGTAGGGGTCACTGAATATTTCTCAGTGTATGTTTTCTTATTAAAGTACATTTTTGCAGAGGCACAAACCATAGAGTCTTGGCTATAAAAAAAAAAAAAAAGTACAGTACCGGTACTGTTCAGGAAGGAAAGACACAGTTCACTGTAAACACACTGACCTTTCGTCTATATGAGGCAAGTATTGCCTATAACATTATATGGGGTAAGTTGTCACAACGAAACCTGCTATTAAAAAATTTACTGAAACATTGAAGCAACATTTAAACAGCGAAATAATTTGAAAAACAAAAATAATAATGTTACATAAAATTACCAAAACATTGTTTGGCCAACAAATACTGAAAATTATTAAAATGAACAAATTCATATCCTTTAACGTGTGACAACTTGCCACAACCTCACAAAAAACCTTGTTCTAAGTCCACAGTTCAAACTTTCAGCAAATATTGTGGTGTTCACCCAACAGTTTGCAAAAAAATATGATAATTTTAATTGTGATGATAGTTTAGAGCAGTGGTTCCCAAAGTGGGTGCCGCGTGACAACTGGCTAGGGGTGCCGCAGAATTTTTTCCAATTTAAATAACCTAAAATACCATCGTACCATATAACCTTTTACAGCATATATTTTAAAAATATACGGAGCCCCTAAAGGGACATGGTCAGTGGTTCTCAAATATTTTACAATGGCGTACCCCCTAGGGCATTTAGCCTAACATTCTTCTGAGTACCCCCACTTAGACCGCAGTCACACCTTTTCCATTAAGGGACAATTTGCCCCCTTAAATTGATTTACATGTGCATTTTTCCTGTTATAGAGGCAAAGTTTTTCTAGCCTTATTAATTGTATGTCATGTTTCATGTCATATTCTTCACATTTCATTAAGTGTATTATTAATATAATAAATAAAGCTAAAATCGCCTGTAGGTGGCGGCAAGTCACTGTCTAATGAGCAAGGCGAAGCATTCATTCATTCAGTAACAAAGCAAATGGTTGTAGTTATGAAAGGGTTATTAATCAGTTCCAATTATCAGTACTCTCAGAATCATTCAAAGCTGCAGATTCATTCACTAATGAAACACTGCTGTTGCTTGGAGAGGCACACCAGTTCTGTTGCGGATTTCGTTGGAACTATTATTTCCTTGTAAAATATAACAAACAATATTGACAATATTGTGTTTAAAATGTAGGCTACATTTAAAATGTAAAATGTACACTTAATATTGCCTTTTTTGTTGAACTGTTATATAAAATCAATGTCACATTTGCAGTCTTTTGGATATTCAGGGAAAACTGCATTCTCTTAGGTTTCAGAGCAAAATAAGAACGTAACAGAACTAAAATCGCCAGTAGGTGGCGGCCAGTCACTGTCTAATGAGCAAGGCGAAGCATTCATTCATTCAGTAACGAAGCAAATGGTTGTAGTTATGAAAGGGTTATTAATCAGTTCCAATTATCAGTACTCTCAGAATCATTCAAAGCTGCAGATTCATTCACTAATGAAACACTGCTGTTGCTTGGAGAGGCACACCAGTTCTGTTGCGGATTTCGTTGGAACTATTATTTCCTTGTAAAATATAACAAACAATATTGACAATGGTGTTTAAAATGTAGGCTACATTTAAAACGTAAAATGTACACTTAATATTGACTTTTTTGTTGAACTGTTATATAAAATCAATGTCACATTTGCAGTCTTTTGGATATTCAGGGAAAATTGCATTCTCATAGGTTTCAGAGCGAAATAAGAACGTAACAGTGCTCGCTTTATAAAATTTCTAATAATCTTTTATATGATTGAATCTTCAAACTGCTAACACTTTGCAGTTTCGAATTATGCCCTATTGTAAGTGACGGAGTATTTTATGTTTCAGCGATTTGATCGGGCCGGCGCCTCATGCGCATATATTCATTGCAAACGGCCTGTTCATTATTAAAATAAAACATAGAATCACCAATACAGATAAAATGTTACACAGTCAATTTAAATAATCTGTATTGTAGTCTGTGCCGTACAGCGTGCACTCCAGTGCGGCACATTTTTGTTCATTATGATTTTTTTCCCTTCGATATTGGAACGTACAAAGCCCAGTTAATTTAATTTAATAAATAATGGTTTAGCTTCAAATACATTGCGAATATGGAAACATTTGGATTTGTGCTGAATGAGAGCGGTATATGAGCCCATACTTTTTCGCTTTAAATTAGGTTTTGGCTTGTTTATAGCTATTCTGGGCTTGTCTGCTTTCCTGTGCATAATATGCTATATTTTATTAATAAACTGTGTACCATAATTTGGTTTTAGCCTTTACTGTCTTCGTCCATTAGCCTCCCTTAAGCGTTTTCTATAGCCCAACGGTTTTAAATGGGGGAGAAACGTTGCATTATGGCTATCTGCTTTACTGATAGTAATGCTATTAATGAGGTCATTAATATTACAATTGTTATTAGTATTAATAATATTTATTAGGCCTAATACCGAATTGGGCCTCCAGTGTCATACCGTCTTCGTCCATTAGCCTCCCTTAAGAGTTTTCTGTAGCTTAACGGTTATGGGGGAGAAATGTTGCATTATGGCTATCTGCTTTACTGATAGTAATGCTATTAATGAGGTCATTAATATTACAATTGTTATTAGTATTGATAGTATTTATTAGGCCTAATACCGAATTGGGCCTCCAGTGTCACTGTTATAGTAGCCTACATTAAGCCACATTAAGCGTTTTAGAATGTCCCAAAACCGTGCCTTAAACTATAAGCAAAGCTGACTGTATTTGAACTTGAGTCCAAATTTAAAATAAAACCGCTCCATTATGAACGTACGAGCTGTATGAACCACTAACTTACAAGCTGTAAAGTAAACAGGAAGTGTTTGTCCAAACTCAACTGGTTTTGCGAGAGAACGCAGAAGTTTTGCGAGGGAATGCAAAATATCTGTGCGAGAGAACGCAAAAGTTTTGCGAGGGAACGCAAATATCTTTGCAAGAGAACACAAAAGTTTTGCGAGGGAGCGCAAATATCTTTGCGAGAGAATGCAAACGTTTTGTGAGGGAACGCAAAGTTTCTCGAGGGAACGCAAAAGTTTTGCGAGAGAACGCAAAAAAAATTTCCTCCCACCCCGAAATTTTTTCCACCACCATGTCCCTTTAGGGGCTCCATAAAAATAGGCTATATCAAAACACCAACATACCCACCCATCTCCACCCCTAAACCTACCATCTCCACCCCCTAAATGTGGATCCAACCCCGCCCCCTGGATCTTTGTTCTGCAGTGAGGGGCTACTGCCAAACTGCACTGTTCTCAGGAGAGAATCGCCCCGTCCGCTCCGCTCAGCTCTGCCCTTTGTACTGGTGCGCGCTCAATTTGATATTTCACGCAGTGATTGACAGGACACGAAATTCGTGTTGCTGCTAATAGAAGGTGTTGACCGTTTTACCGGTGTGAAGCCGCAACACCAGTTATGTCACTTGCCCACCATCGTTTTGATTTTTTATAGTAATAAAAATCATTTAGTTTACTAAAATTAAAACTGAATGCGGCTGCTCAATGAAGCGTGCCGAATGACAGTCGCATCACAGATCAGATTTCATTTATCATGTGAGGAGAAGCTGACAAAGAAGAGTGAAGTGAGACAGACAAGACGATGGCAGAAGTGTTTCAAAACGACATGCAAAAGCGCCTGTTTTAAAAATATTTTGGATTTTGAAAAGCCTGTTGACTTCTCCCATTTTTCTAAGGTGATATTGGAAGTTTTTTTAAACATTCGTTTCTTATTTATTTGGTTCCACAGTTTTTGCTGATCTAAATTTATTTAAACTGCATATATTTTTTTTATTGTACATCAAGTATGCCGTGTTTCTAGGGCTGTGCAAAAAATCGAATGCGATTTTCATGACAAGCTACACAAAATCGCAGGCGATTCATTGCCGATTTTGAACGCGATTTTGTGTAGCTTGTCAGTGAACTACGGCTCTGTGTAGTAAATGCCGCTCCATCTGAATGCACGTGCTGGAGATTTACTTCTAATCACAGGAGCAGCTTTACTGATGAGATGCGCATGAAAATCACATTTGATTTTTTGCACAGCCCTACGTGTTCCCAATCTTTCTTATTCGTTTTGCTAATAAACATAGCGTTTCTTATTTATTTGGTTCCACAGTGTTTACTGATCTTCAGTTTTGTATAAGCTACCTAAACTTTGTGTAAGTTATTTGTTATTTTATATTAGGCATAATATGTTCTACGTTGTATTTTGTTGTTGCTTGAATTGAATTCAAGCCGAATTGCTGCTAATTTGAAAGTGAAAGTAAAATGTGCACGGTGCTTTTAAGCTATTTAAAAGCGAAGGAAAGTAAGGAAAAGAGGGAAAACTCAAATGAACTAAAAACAAACAACTGCTTGACGCAGAATTGGCGCTAATTTGAAAATGAAAGTAAAATGCGCAGGGCGCTTTTACAAGCTATTTAAAATAGAAGGAAAGCGAGGAAAAGAGGCAAAACTACCCCCCTCTCTTCCTCACTGTCACAACCCTAAATTTTACCCATCTATCTCAGAATGCGCCGTCAATGTGCTGTTGCCGTTTTTTTAAGTTATAAGGTCAGGTTTGAACAAATCAAATGAGAAACTAAAGAAAAAAACATTTTTTTTCTATTTTTTAAAGAGTTAAGTATCAATCTTTAAATGTGTTTTGTTCCAGTGATTCCCACATACAGTAAATGGTTCAAATCAGTCTGTTGACGTGTCATCCAGTTGTAAAAGACAGATGGTTCATTTGAATGGGTTGTTTCACCTCATATTATGTCTGTTGTGATGCATTCATAATAAATTCATGCTGCTGTTTATGCTTCATTTGTTGTTTGCTCATCTGGATTTAATTTCATATATGTATGTACACATGTACGTTTAGTTTAATTGGGTTGGGGTGCCATGGGAAAAAAAAAACCTACAAAGGGGTGCCATGCTTTCAAAACGTTTGGGAAACACTGGATTAGGGGTTTAAATGAGATTTACATTCAATAGTTTGACCTTTTATGGACTTCTATTAATAACTGAAATTTTCTAGGTTTCATATCCTGTTAAATCTGTTCAAATGGGATTACCTGTAAACCACATTCCCACAATATAAGACATAAATTGCCTTTATGATCACTAACGTTTGTACTTTCTCACTTGTAGTCATGCTAACACTTTTTTCTTTAAGTGTCTGTTAAAGCTATATAAGCCAAACAGAGATGATGACCTTGGATGATGCTGAGGAGTTATCATTTAGTTCAGTAAAAGAACAGACACTACAATTAAAAACTGAACGCGGCTGCTCAATGCAGCGTCAGTCGCATCAGTCGCATCACAGATCAGATTTCATTTATCATGTGAGGAGAAGCTGACAAAGAAGAGTGAGACAAGACGAGTGTGAAGCCACAACACCGGTTATGTCACTTGCCCACCGTGGCACCGCCCCCACAATCGTTTTGATTTTTTATAGTAATAAAAATCATTTAGTTCAGTTAGAGAACAGACACTACAATTAAAACTGAACGAGGCTGCTCAATGCAGCGTGCCGAACGAGTCGCATCACAGATCAGATTTCATTTATCATGTGAGGAGAAGCTGACACGAAGAGTGAGGTGAGACAGACAAGATGATGGTAGAAGAGTTTCAAAATTACATGCAAAAGCGCCTGTTTTACAAATATTTTGGATTTTGAAAAGCCTGTTGACTTCTGCTATTTATCTAAGGTGATATTGGAAGTTTTTTTTAAACATTCGTTTCTTATTTATTTGGTCCCACAGTGTTTGCGGATTTAAATGTATTTAAACTGTGTATTTTTTTTTTATTATTTTACATCAATGCCGTGTCTCCAATCTTTCTTATTCGTTTTGCTAATAAACATAGCGTTTCTTATTTATTTGGTTCCACAGTGTTTACTGATCTTCAGTTTTGTATAAGCTACCTAAACTTTGTGTAAGTTATTTGTTATTTTATATTAGGCATAATATGTTCTACGTTGTATTTTGTTGTTGCTTGAATTGAATTCAAGCCGAATTGCTGCTAATTTGAAAGTGAAAGTAAAATGTGCACGGTGCTTTTAAGCTATTTAAAAGCGAAGGAAAGTAAGGAAAAGAGGGAAAACTCAAATGAACTAAAAACAAACAACTGCTTGACGCAGAATTGGCGCTAATTTGAAAATGAAAGTAAAATGCGCAGGGCGCTTTTACAAGCTATTTAAAATGGAAGGAAAGCAAGGAAAAGAGGGAAAACTACCCCCCCCCTTTTCCTCACCGTCACAACCCTAAATTATACCCATCTATCTCAGAATGCGCCGTTAATGTGCTGTTGCCGTTTTTTTTTTAAGTTATAAGGTCAGGTTTGAATAAATCAAATGAGAAACTAAAGAAAAAATTTAATTTGAGTTGTTTATTATTATTTAAAGAGTTAAGTATCAATCTTTAAATGTGTTTTGTTCCAGTGATTCCCACATACAGTAAATGGTTCAAATCAGTCTGTTGACGTGTCATCCAGTTGTAATTTATTTTTTTTATTTTTTTTCCCTCTTTACCAGTATTTTACATTATTTCTCAACGTAATAATAAAATATTTACACTGATGTGACTTGTCTTTTTTTCTCTCAACAATGCAACTTTGAGGAAGGTGAAACTTTTTTCCAGAAAATACGGTAAAAATATGGATCCACTGATATTTAAACTCAACAATAATTATTTTCAAGTCATGGCCAAAAAGTCATAAATAGCAGATATTAAAAATTATTGTATTTATACTATTTCGTTAAAAAATGTTTTAAAAAAAAATGTTAAACTAAATTTAAACATTTTAAATGCTAATTAATTAATTAGTTAATTTAGGCATCACATTATTACAATTTTAGTATGAAAAATGTATAGTTATTTTGAAATTTGCTAATATTATATTTAACAGTTTTATTATATTTTAATTTTAAGTGAGCATTAGATGACAGAAAAACAGCATAAACAAAGCATGCACAATATATGCAATTATCAAATATCAGTCAATACAGACTACCAGGTTTAAAAAAAAATAACCAATATGGAACCAATGTATATTGTGTATTCCTACTGTACTTATCTACTTTAAAAGGGAGAACAAAACATTTTCCATGTCTTGAAACTCTATTTTAGCACAAACTGATGTTATTTTGCCAACATGCAGATATAAGTGAACACAAACCTTTATGGCAGCTAAATGCAGTGGCGTTTCTCCATTGTGGTTCCTCTTCATGTAAGCAGGATTCGCCTGTTTGTGTCTCACACTTGAAGATTTCCTCCCAAGGTCAGGGGTAGCTGGTGTGATTGGGTTCACATTCTGCTTCTCATTGGACTGTCTGGATGTTCTCAGACTCTGAGAGCAGTCTTCAGTTGAAGCAGTTCTTTCTCGAAATGATCTCTTCTTCCATCCTGAAGTTGTTCTGGGTTGTTTTGGCATTCTCTGTGGATCATCACTGTCCCGATCCTCTCTGGTTCTCTTACACACACTGGCAAGAGAAGGCTGAGGAGGCCCTGGAGTGTTTTCATTGGATTCTTGTGGGATATCAGTGACAGGCTCAACCTGTTGATCGTAACATGGTGAACAAAAGGCTGCAGAGCTTTGCTTCTCAGTGTCTTCAACTTCCAAATTGCTTGGGATGCTTTTTTGGGGACTGGGAATTTGATTCTGTTCTTGGTGGACAGCCTTATGAGTTTCCTCAGGCTGGCTGCGAGGGAAATGGAAAGAAACTCTCTTACTGGACCTCCTGTTGTCATCTCCAGAGCTCACTTTCTCGTCCTCTTCATTCTTGTTGTCTCTAGAACCTTCTTTTCCAAAGGCCCACTGCTGATTGATAGCCTCCAGCTTCAGCCTCTTACATTCTTGCATAGTCTGAGTCCATGTTTTAGGCCTTTGACCAACACGGGTTTGTTTGCAGGTTTGGCTGATCCTTTTTTTCTTTGCCGTTTTTTTTTTAAGTTATAAGGTCAGGTTTGAATAAATCAAATGAGAAACTAAAGAAAAAATTTAATTTGAGTTGTTTATTATTATTTAAAGAGTTAAGTATCAATCTTTAAATGTGTTTTGTTCCAATGATTCCCACATACAGTATATGGTTCAAATCAGTCTGTTGACATGTGTCATCCAGTTGTAAAAGACAGATGGTTCATTTGAATGGGTTGTTTCACCTCATATTATGTCTGTTGTGATGCATTCATAATAAATTCATGCTGCTGTTTATGCTTCATTTGTTGTTTGCTCATCTGGATTTAATTTCATATATGTACTCATGTGCGTTTAGTTTAATTGGGTTGGGGTGCCGTGGAAAAAAAAAAAAACACTACAAAGGGGTGCCATGCTTCCAAAAAGTTTGGGAACCACTGGTTTAGAGGACAGAATTGTAAAAATATACTTACTGTAATAAAATTAAACATCATAAAATATATTAGAAAAAAACAAACAATAAAATAAAATAAACTTAGAGTAGAAATTTTGACTCAAAACCTTATAGTTCTGAGATACAAGTTGTGACAACTTGTGCTCCGGTCATAATAGTAGTGCTTGTACTGAATTTATTTTATGCTGATTTATTTTATACCTTTCTTTGGAATTTTGTCACTTATAAAATACTGCACTGACAGTAAGTGTACAAGCTTATTCATGTGGCAAAAGATGCGAAATTTGCACTACTAGTGTTCATATTTCATTTTACCATTTCCGAGTGCAAAAAGCTACATTGATCTTACATTTCATCAGCTAAATAGAACACAAGACAGAGGATTTAAACAAATAAAAATATACAGGATAAAACATTTGAAAAATGATAAAGGTAAAATCTACAATAACCATTAGGACAGTTGCGTATTCGGTGAACATACAGTATTCTGTTAGGATAACATACATTACTGTACATACAAGGAAAAGCTTTCCAACCATTTTCAGCCCAGACAACCTCGAACAAAAGACAAGGCTGTTATGTGTACAAGATTCATGTTGGATTGTGTGTGAATTCTCTTCTCTCACCAGTGGTGTCCAGCCTGCATTGTCCTTCAGGTTGGGGTCGGCTCCCTGAGCAAGGAGCTTACGGACCTCCTCCACATCCCCCTGTACAGAAGACCAGGGTCAAAAGGTCTGTGGTAGCAGATATTGATCAATCAGACTCAAATACTGACCTAGCATCAATCATTAAGTGGTCAAAGTGACTCGCTGCTGGAATACTAACGAAGAACAGTCTCAGATACAAGCAAACCAGTACAGTAAAAAAAAAATTATTTAAACTGCTGGTAAATGACAATCAAATTGGTCACAAGGGCAGGAGGAACAAAATCATATAATGCAGCTATATAATGTGTATAGTTACAATAGCAATACAGAGGCTTATAGACTTTCCAGAATATTTCTCTTACACACACTGGCAAGAGAAGGCTGAGGAGGCCCTGGAGTGTTTTCATTGGATTCTTGTGGGATATCAGTGACAGGCTCAACCTGTTGATCGTAACATGGTGAACAAAAGGCTGCAGAGCTTTGCTTCTCAGTGTCTTCAACTTCCAAATTGCTTGGGATGCTTTTTTGGGGACTGGGAATTTGATTCTGTTCTTGGTGGACAGCCTTATGAGTTTCCTCAGGCTGGCTGCGAGGGAAATGGAAAGAAACTCTCTTACTGGACCTCCTGTTGTCATCTCCAGAGCTCACTTTCTCGTCCTCTTCATTCTTGTTGTCTCTAGAACCTTCTTTTCCAAAGGCCCACTGCTGATTGATAGCCTCCAGCTTCAGCCTCTTACATTCTTGCATAGTCTGAGTCCATGTTTTAGGCCTTTGACCAACACGGGTTTGTTTGCAGGTTTGGCTGATCCTTTTTTTCTTTATTTTCTTATTTGCCTTCCCACGTGGAGGGGAGGATGACCCAGACTCCTGGGAGGAAGAGGTGAAGTTGAAGACGGACAGGTCCTTGGAAGAAGGTGACATATCAGCTTTCTTTCCCTGGACTTCATTTGATTTGTTTGAGTCAGCAGGTTTCTCAATGCAACAGCGTACTTTACGACTCTTTGGGCTAAACCATATTTTGATGTTCTTCTTATTCTTAGGGATAAAGCTCTCATCCGACTTTATGGTATCGGTGACCATGCCTAAACAAAGAGAATCACATTTGACCATCAAATAAAAAGAAGTCATCTCAGAAAGCGAAACATAAAAAAAAGACATAAAAGGACATAATAACTTAAAAACATCTCTTCAAAAAAAACTAAAGAAAATATATATTTTAAAAAATTAACTGAATTTTAAGTCAAACTTTTAGGCGGTGTTACAGTGCTCAATAAATAAATAATAATATGACTTTCCAGAATATAAGTCACTTTTTTTTTTTTTTGGACTTGTTTTACCTTTTGGGTTTCAGTTTTTATATCTCCACCCATTCAACTTTTGTGCAGTTTGTGCTTGTTAAGCATGCCAAGTTTATTCATTTAGCGCATTTCCCACACTCCGGTAATTCAGTTTTGCTTTAAAAGTTGTTTATAATGAATGCCACTAGAATTTAGGTTTATTTTATACTTATATTTTTTATTCTTGTTTTGTATAACATTAAATTTGAAGGATTTTTGTGAAGCAAGGGGAACTAAAATACATGCATTTAGTGTTGAAATTAAACTTTTTTTCCAGAAAATATGGTAAAAAGAAATAGGGATCCACGAATATTTAAATTCTGGTTAATACCTATGAGACAATCATTATTTTCAAGTCATGGCCAAAAAGTGATAAATAGCAGATATTAAAAATTATCATATTTATACTATTTAGTTAAAAAAATAAAACTACAGTTAAACATTTTAAATGCTACAAGTTAATTTAGGCATCACAACATTACAATTTGCAGTATGGAAAATGTATATTTACTTTGAAATTTGCTAGTTTATATATAACAGCTTTATTAAATTGTTTTTAAATTTTAATTTTAAGTGAGCATTAAGTGATAACAAGGTAAAGACTGTCTTGAAACTATATTTTAGCACAAATTGATGTAATTTTGCCAACATGCGGATATAAGTGAACACAAACCTTTATGGCAGCTAAGTGCAGTGGCGTCTCTCCGTTGTGGTTCCTCTTCATGTACGAGGGATTTGCCTGTTTGTTTCTCACACTTGAAGACTTCTTCCCAAGGTCAGGGGTAGCTGGTGTGATTGGGTTCACATTCTGCTTCTCACTGGACTGTCTGGATGTTCTCAGACTCAGAGAGTGGTCTTCAGTTGAAGCAGTTTCTTCTCTAGATGATCTCTTCTTCCATCCTGAAGTTGTTCTGGGTTGTTTTGGCATTCTCTGTGGATCATCACTGTCCCGATCCTCTCTGGTTCTCTTACACACACTGGCAAGAGAAGGCTGAGGAGGCCCTGGAGTGTTTTCATTGGATTCTTGTGGGATATCAGTGACAGGCTCAACCTGTTGATCGTAACATGGTGAACAAAAGGCTGCAGAGCTTTGCTTCTCAGTGTCTTCAACTTCCAAATTGCTTGGGATGCTTTTTTGGGGACTGGGAATTTGATTCTGTTCTTGGTGGACAGCCTTATGAGTTTCCTCAGGCTGGCTGCGAGGGAAATGGAAAGAAACTCTCTTACTGGACCTCCTGTTGTCATCTCCAGAGCTCACTTTCTCGTCCTCTTCATTCTTGTTGTCTCTAGAACCTTCTTTTCCAAAGGCCCACTGCTGATTGATAGCCTCCAGCTTCAGCCTCTTACATTCTTGCATAGTCTGAGTCCATGTTTTAGGCCTTTGACCAACACGGGTTTGTTTGCAGGTTTGGCTGATCCTTTTTTTCTTTATTTTCTTATTTGCCTTCCCCCGTGGAGGGGAGGATGACCCAGACTCCTGGGAGGAAGAGGTGAAGTTGAAGACGGACAGGTCCTTGGAAGAAGGTGACATATCAGCTTTCTTTCCCTGGACTTCATTTGATTTGTTTGAGTCAGCAGGTTTCTCAATGCAACAGCGTACTTTACGACTCTTTGGGCTAAACCATATTTTGATGTTCTTCTTATTCTTAGGGATAAAGCTCTCATCCGACTTTATGGTATCGGTGACCATGCCTAAACAAAGAGAATCACATTTGACCATCAAATAAAAAGAAGTCATCTCAGAAAGCGAAACATAAAAAAAAGACATAAAAGGACATAATAACTTAAAAACATCTCTTCAAAAAAAACTAAAGAAAATATATATTTTAAAAAATTAACTGAATTTTAAGTCAAACTTTTAGGCGGTGTTACAGTGCTCAATAAATAAATAATAATATAATAAATAATAAATATTTAAACAATTAATTTAAGTAGAATATATATATATAAAATTATTATTATTTTTTTTTAAGATTTCTCCCTTGCATCATCTCAGACATACTTATTTGTCATTGCTTTAAAAAAAAAATCAGACCTTTAAAAGAACAGTGAAATTTGACATCATTTTAAGCAGTGGCTAAATGTCCCCTGCTGACATTAACCTTGTAATGATGACAGAGCTAAAGCAGAGTCTGGTGTGCAAAGGTGTAATGAGCACGTTTATTCGGTGGTTTTATCCGCTTCTCCTGCCTAGCTGTTGTCTTTGATGCTACAGCAGCACCAGCATGAGTGAACCAGCATGACCTCTCCACCAACTCAATCTCCTGTGCAGCGTTAAACGCCCTGACCCCTGGGGCACAGACCTGTCTGTCAGACAGCACATCTCTCTGCCATTGGCAACAGCACCCCGAGCTCGGAGAAAACTGCTAAAGCTACAATGGAAAATTATATTGCATAATTATAGTCATTATCAGTCTCAAAGTTCAGTTGAGGATTTGTGTTGAAAAAAAAGAGAACATCAATTGAAGTCCATAGCGTTCAGTACATTACATTAAGGGACATAATAATATACATGTATTAAAGTTATAATCAGGGTCGGTGCCAAAGTGGGCATTCATGGGCCATGCCCCCCCAAATGAGTTACTGTGCCTTCTCCACGCCCCTGAACATGAGCGAAATTCAAAAGTGAAAACCAAGCGCCATCGAAAGCAATTGCACACGCTTTCAGCATGATTTCGGCAGCTGCAGGCCTGCCCTAGAAAAATAAACGTGCCAAATTTATGTGCTGTGGCGCAATCTCTGGTTATAATTGGTACTTGATGCCATGATGCAAAAGACTTGGTTTACTTGAGGACTCTGAGGGGTTCAGGAGGGACTCCAGTTTGCACCAGCATGGGGTCCTGAACAAGATCTACAGGACAGACCACATACATACTTGATTATACACATTTTAGGGCTAGGTGATATAGTAAGGGAGAAAAAAATAATGACAAAAATTCATATTTATAGAAATGTATACATAAAATACACAAGAATATTTATTTGTTTGCTTGGGGGTCTGAATACTTTCCGTACCCACTGTATATATATATATATATATATATATACACACACACAATTTTTTTTTTAATAAATTATATTTTTAATATAAATGTTTATTCTCATTTAAATATATAGATGCATTAAAAATAATTAATAATAAATAAATAATAATATATGATGTAATTAAGAAACTATATGGCTTTTGAAAGTGAAAGATTATATATTAAATATAGATTATTTTTAATACATACAAAATATATAATATATAATATAAATGAAACAT